CAATATACAGAAGAGAATATTCCTGTTCTTGTTCGTGATATTAACTTTTAGACACGCATATTAGATTTATAGTTGCCGCAAAATGTTATCAATTACATATATAATTTTTCGCATACTACATAAACATATATACTCTACTATATTTTATACACAATATTACAAAAAAAGATATATTCGAATTTTTAACGATAAATAATCATAAAAATTGTTTTTTATTTAATAGAGAATTTTTTATAGATATTTATTATAGTTAGGTTGTTAATTCTATCTTCCAATGAAACTATGAAAAATAGAAAATATTATTATTGAAATAGTATGAGTATTTTTATTGTTATTAGTTGTTTAGAATTAAGAATTATTTACTATATATATTTTGTTAAATTTTTTATTTTTAATATTAATATTAATATTATGTGATATAAATTAAAATATATATATTTAGTTTTAATATCAAGCAAATAAAAATAAATATTTTTTTAATAATTTATTTAAATTACATCAAAATGTTCTGAAATGATAAAAAAAAATTATCATATTATAGAGATCCTTATAGTTCAGAAACAAACTGAGTACAATTTAAAGTAATAAAAAGTGATGTCTCGCATTTAATAGAGTTTTAATAAACATATTTCGGTTAAAAAAGTATACTATAGAAATTTATTAATAACGTCAATTAGACATTTATAATGGAAAAATTATTGAAAAAATTTGTATAACCATATCAAAATAAATAATTAATTTCAATACGTGCAGGTAGATAAGAACTTGCACAAATTGCAATAAAAATAATGTATTTATATTTTGCAAACGTGCACGCACACATACACATATAGATACATATAGTATATTGCAAAGCAGAAGTTTTTACAAATTGAATTATAAAATTAATTGTATTTTAATTAAATAGTAGATAAAAAAAAAAAATAGACATAAATTATCAAAGTTTGTTCCAAATAAATATACTTTTAGAAATTGTCTTCTATTAGGATGTTTTAAGAATGTTTACAAATTATCATTGCATTAATTACAAAAAGAATTTTACTATAAATTTATATTATATTATTAAATAAAAAATTTAACTTGCAGCTCAGAATAAATAATTTGTAATAACGAATTTATTGTTAAGTAGTTTATTGTTAAGTAATTCTATATTTTAATTTACTTGCTCAAGTGGCCTAATTAATCTAAACTTAAGAAATAAAGCTGTAAATAAACAATAATTTATCAAATAAACAACACTGTGTAATATGTATACTTACATCGTGCAAATATTTTTTCTTCCAAACTTCAAATCATCCAGGAAGACATTATTTCTATAAACTCTTTTTATAAATAAGAGTTTCATTATTTATAATGAAATGGATTCATTTATAATCCGTCTGATTTCTTCTATAACATCACAGGAAAAGATATTGTAGGTAAATGACAACAAATACAAAAGTCTGTTACAAACTTTGTAATGAAATATTGCTTTCGATTCATCGAAAGAGGAAAACAACACGATGCACGTGAAAGTTTTCTTTATACAATTGTATAGAGTATTGTCTTAATACTTTCCGCAAAAGATTCATCCTCCTTTTGTACAAAGAGAAATATGTATGTTTCTGATCCGTTTCTTTATAATCTATTATATTATTAAAGAAAAAGAAAAGAGAAAGTTAACAATATAAATTTCAGCCATTCGATGAAAGATAGATGATTCGTGAAGCTTTCTTTGAGCGACGCTCATCTTTTTTCTTTCGTTAATAAGAATGCTAATTAAAGTCATTAATTTCTTTGGAAATTATACATTTTTAAACCATCGGAATGGCTTTGCGTATATATATATATATATATAT